AAAATATTCAAATCTCCCCCGGAAGAGCAATATCGATTATATCAAAGGCTAAAAAGATCAGCTGGGAAGGAGCTGGAGTGAACTGAGTGGAGGAAGGACGAGAATCCTCCAGAGGGGCTCCCTGGTAAGTTCTGTGAACAGTTGGGAAGCTGCTGAGCAGAGAATGTGGAACATGTCTGTGAGCAATGGAAGGTGAGCTGGGAGGGACACGGGCTGTGTGGGAAGCGTGAGCCCACACACAGCGGCGGGGGGTGCACGAGACACCTCGCGCAGCCTGCCAGGGCCGGCGCGGGGCGCCTGGCACCCCAGGCCCGAGCTCTAGCGAATCTCCTGGTTCAGGCTCTGCTGCCACCGCTGGAAATTCTTGATAGTTACTGAAAATGGTGCCCTTCAGGCACCAGGTAGCTGGTCCTGGCTGCAGGTTACTGTCTTTGAGGAGGGGGAGAAGGAGACTTCTAAAAGCAACTTTTTCACAAAATCAAGGAGTAGGTCCAGGAAGAAGCAGCTTCAGGCAGTTGCAGCGAATTTCAAAGGACTTTAAGCAGGTTCTTAGTGAGTTCTTTGGAGCCTGTCACGGGTCCTGAAGACCTCTGCCTCCTCTTCCCCACCTTCCTAGGGCTGTCTGGGTGACCTAAGTCAGAGGACTTACAAAGTGGCTGAACAGAGAAGCAGAGAGGCACCCACTGGTTCCAATACAAAAGCAAAGCGGGGCCCCTCCTGGTGGCGCAAGGGCTTAAAGGGCAGCACTATGAAGCTGCCACAGCCACTGCAGCAGGAGTTCAATCCCCGGCCCAGGGAGCTGACCCACATGGCGCAGACCTCTCCTGCCTCTCCCGCTGCTCCCCTCAGCAGTGTGCTTCAGTCTGTCAGCTCCGCTCCCCACTCTGTCTCTGGTGAATCCTCTCACAACCCCCACCTCACACCTCTGGCTTATACCGCAGTACTTGTGTGCATAAATAAATAAATCTTTAAAAACAACACAAAAGCAGAGCAAAAGACCCCGAGGTGCACTTATGTAAATGAGGAGTGACCTGGAACTGGGATAATTGGCAGCTTTTAGGGAAAAGGAAAAAGTTTCAAACAAGCTCAACCCCAGATGCTGCTAGATGAAAACCAAGTTCTTGTTTAAGAGGAAGCAAAACCAGTCAACCGACAAAGCAAACTGCGAAGAGGAGACATGTAGGTGTTCAGCTGAGTGCCACCTTACTGTCACCCCACAGTGCCAAGACCCCTGATGGGAGGCCGCCAGGAACATCCACCGGAGCCCTGGGGGGAGCCTGGGGAGCCCCACCTCTCCCAAGGCCCCACTTTCCCTGTCTCAGGGCTCCCAGGTTTTACTCTCACTGATCACTTTTGGAATTTCAGAATTTTCGCAAATTCTGTTCTTGTTTCTCAGTCTTCCAGGCTCAGAACCTGGACTCTACATTTACTTGCTCAGCCCTAGAACTCACGTCCTGCAGTCAGTTCCCATAAATTCTTGCACAACGGGCCCCCTCGTTCGGCTCGCATACATAGCCACTGGAGAATTCGTCTTCTGCTCATCTCTAACTATAAAATTCTTCTGTTCGAGAATCCTCATAGGCGTCCAATGTTAAACTTCATATTTGGGCTTTCAAAGCCCATCTATAATTTAATTCTACTACGCCTCCTCTCCCTCTTGGTCACACCCCTCCTCCCTAGTGTCAGATTGAGGGCTGGCTATTTTGTTTTTCTAGCTTTGTTTCATAGCTCGTCATTCCCTCTGCTGGGAAACCCAGACTGTCCCCAGCTGCCAAGCTCCAGCCACCTGTGTCTTTGAGCCCCGCTCAGCCCCACGGACACGCTGTATGCCCGACTCAGCTTTCTCTAGTGCGCAATGCCTGTCGCAGTGTGTTTAACCGACAGCATTGAGGAAACAAGTATCTTCATTTTTCTCTGTGGCCCTCAGACACGTGCGCTCCTCAGCAGTCTCAGTGCGCGTCCCTTCTCCCTTCAGTTCCTGGGAGGGCTCACCAACTGCAGCAGCTCAGGCTTTGGCAGCCATTGCGTGCCAATGGTTGTCCGATGCACACTGGTTGGTCGGCTCCCTTGAGCTCCAGATGCACATAAAACAACTCCATACATGTCCATCGGGAGTGTCTGTGGTATTTGGGGTTCTATGCAGGAGCCTTGGGTTTGATACTGCTCAAAGCAGATGTTTATCTTACAATCCTGTTCCATTCAACCACTCACACTCCTCTAACTTCCCTCTTCTTTATCAGTTTATTTTTGATATCCTTATGTCATTCCTTTTCATGCACTATTTGATTTCTCCCCCACATGCAGTACCCATAATTCTCCCACCACCACAGCACGGGTGACTGTCACCACAGTCCCTAGAGCTCCTCCCTCCCACTGTGATCCCTCTCCTCCTTCTCCCCTGCTGGAGGTCTCAGATCTGTGGTTTGCCTGATCCTTTTTTTAACATCACTTGTAATCAGGGAAATGCAAATCAAGACCACAGTGAGCTACTACCTCACCCCAGGGAGAATGGTCCATGTTAAAAAAACTGTCTCCCTGGCCCTCCCTGGTGGTGCAGTGGATTAAAGCACAGCACTGAGAAGCTAAAGCCACTTCCGCATGAGTTCGATTCCCGCCTGCCCTGGAGGTGACCACATGGCGTGGCAGACCTCTCCTGGCCTGCCCGCTACTCGCCTCAGCAGTGTACTTCGTAGATCTGCCTGTTTTGCTCCCCACTCTGCCTCTGGTGAAGCCTCTCATGGCCCCTGAGCCTCTGGCCTGTACCCCAGTTCTGTATGCACAAATAAATAAATCTTTAAAAACAAACAGACAAACAAACAAAAAAACTGTCTCCCTCTGCTGAGTCACAGCCAGCCTTGCAGATGCCTTCCGAGGTCTTCGTCACATGTCACATCCTGCTAGACCAACATCTCTGTCATCTCTTCCATCCTTTCCACCCTCAGATTTGGACTTTCCATTTCTCTCCTCTGAATTATTGCTGGTATGATGGTTAGTGGCAAAACCACAGAGACTTCCAGGCAAATATAATCTAACCAGTGAGATGAATTCTATAGCAGTGTCCTGCAAAGCACAGCAGCGAGCACATGGCCGACACCTAGTAACTCCTTGCTAAGTGTAATGCAATTCACCAGAGGCGGCAATGATAAGTCCTTCACGTAGTCTGGGGCAGCTCTTGGTGCCAGAGCACAGGATGTGACTGGTGGCCCCTCATGCTAGCCTGGTTCCTTTTCAGAGAGTGAGACTATTTTAAAAGTCCAAACAGGTAAGTCACTCTATCTCTACATAAGCAGCCTTTTCCGTTTATAATTTTATTACAAGATTTTGTTATAGGGAAACAGGAAGCACATTTTTTTTTGTAGCAATATCAAAGATTTCCTTTGAAAATAAGAAAAGGAAATAAAGAGGTTTTAAATAAAAATTGTTTGGAAGCAGAATTTGCGCATGGAAAGGGCTAAATTTGTGCAGTAGGAAATGACTGTCCTGTGAGTGTTTAAGGAGAAAGAACACTTGGCAGAAATGGACACAGCTAATTCCTAGGGAGGCTGGAGCCTCGGTGCGGGGGGGGGTGGTTTGGGGGGTAAGGGAAAGAGGTAGATGGCAGGTGCCTTGAGACCTCCCTGATGACAAGACTGATCTGGTCTTTGGTAAAGCCTATCAGTCTTCTCCAGGAAGAAACTAAATTTGTTACAGGGCAGCCCAGAGTGAACTGGGTTGCCTGTCTGTGAGTCCTCACCTGCGCTTAAAATGTAATTTTCTGCAGACACACACAAAACGGTAATGGGTTTATTTACAAAAGGGGAAAGGAAAAGGAACAACCTAGGGAAAGAGAGAGTGATACAAAGTTCCTGGAATATCTTACCAGCTTGGCTAACTTAGAGCTCTAGTCACAAACTAACACTGCTAGCCCCCAGTCACAAGGCCTGAGAGCCCTGCTACAGAGAGAGAGCCGTTACCTCTCCAGAGAGACAGTTGGAAAACTGCTCTCTATTTTTCCTCTAAAGTCCCAGAATGCCTGCTTAGCTCCGCCCTTGGGTCCTTGCAGTTCATTCCCTGGTACTGCTGGGAGTTGTAGTTTCCAATCACTGCAGTGGGGGTGGAATCCAGAAAGCTGGAGCAGGGGGTGGAGTCCACAAGACTGCAGAGTTCCTTTAGGACGTCCTTCCCCTTAACACAGTAGATCTGCGCTGGGTGTGGGGGTTGGCTCATGAGGGATTCAGGTGATTCTTATTCTCAGGAATGCTTGGGAGGTGTTTGGTCCTGGAAGACTTCAAAGGCCCATTCAGTCCCAGAGTCTACTGTACTGCTTTACCCATACACTGTCAGTCACGTGCAGGGAGCCTCCGCAATGAATTGTGTGCCAGCAGAGACAGATGAACGAA